GCAGTGCTACAGACATTTTGGGAGGTGGAGACTGAGCAGCAGAGCACAGGCAGCTGCAGGGACTACAGAGCTCCCTCAGGACTGTGCAGGGCTACTTCAGGCCTCCAAAACGCCAGAAAATAAGGCTGCGTAAAGTCAGCCTCATCCATGCTTCCCTCAGGCCTCTAAATTACAGGTCGCACCTCAGAGAGGTGGCACCGACTTTCAGTCGGTCTCAACTAACAACTTGATGCTGCCGGTTCTGTCACAGAGCTCGTGCCAGTGATGTGAAACTGATAAGGACAGGGGGCTGCTTCAAGAGGAAAAAAATAAAATAATCCGATGCTGTGAGCACTGATGGCAGCCTTTGTGACCTGCACGCTGCCCAGCCTTGGGTGCAGCTCCCTGCTGACAGCATGGGGAGGGACACCTGCTGCACGTGCTCAGTGGGCTGGAGCCTCATAAAATACCTGACCCCTGGGCTGTCGGCATGTCTGAAAGCCACTGACATGGGCTTAATGCAGACGTGAAGAAAAGGAGCACCTGTGCCCTGAGCCTTCCTTGCCTGGCTGTGTCCCAGGCTCGCAGCTGGATAAGCAGCTGTATCCCAGCCCTGAAGCGCTGCCAAGCGAGGAACCTCTCTGCTGCCACTCCTTTTCCTTCTCTGTGCCGCTACTTCTCATTAGTTTCCCTTTTTCCACACTTGTGCTGCACAAAAGTTACCCATCTGACATAGAGTGCTACAGTCAAAGTCTCATTATGGGCACAAGGGAACACACACCTTGTACGTGGAGCCAACAATTAGCATTCATTGTTAGCCTAATTAACATTTCAGCAGTAAAATCAAAATGAAGCAAACAGCTATTTATCACCCAGTTACGTTGATACTAACACTTTCTGTCCATGTTATCTATTTTCTTTGCTAATTCCCATTAATAACCCAATTCAGTTTGTTAGTCAGCAATTCCTTGGTACCTCCCCCTTTCTGCCCTGTTATGCTCACCTTTCTTCTGGGCAGTCACCGTGAGTTATGATGCCCCAGGTTCCCTCTGGGAGAAGGACGCCCTTGGGGGCCAGAGTTTCTTCCTCCTCGGTCTGAGGTCTGCTTGGGGTTTTCGGGCAGTTTGTTGCTAACACTTTTTTAATAGGTCCACGAGTCCAGTTACAGTAATTTCTTCAGGTTAAAACCATGCAATTTCACAGAGTTAAGGTAACACAAGAACTAAATTAGACATTACTTCACCCATTGGGCAATTGCTGGTTCAGCTACAACAAGCTTCAGACCAGACAAGGCCTGAAGTAGCCTATGTGAAGGTAGAATAAAATCTGCAGTTTGTGGCTAACAAGGGCAGCATCATGCTTCCTAAGGCACAGGGCTGCAGGAGCTGTGTTCACACCGGCACTGCTGGTGCACACACACTCTCCTCCAAACAAGCATACGTACCAATTAGCTGTGCCATAAACACTTCTGTCAGTAGAACTCTGTTTACCCCATCTTTTTCCAGTTACAGTCAAATTAACTGCCATCAAAGTGTTAGATTTTATTCCCCAAAACACCTGAGGTTTTCTTTCAAGCTGAAGTTGCTCAGCTCTGTTCACATCTGACAAAGCCACGCTTTGATTTCAAGCAACAGCAGCTTATGGTTTTAAGCCTCCATCCTATCCTGGTCACTAATGTGCCAGAAACACGTTAACCACTCAGCACTGAAATCAAAGTTCAATTCCCACTGTTAACAATAGCATTACTATAGCCTTTAGTTGCATAAATAGTATACAGCACACAGATACAGGCATAATATATTTATATATATACACACGCATAAGCTCAACACTTGGGACACGGTACTAAATGACAATATGTCACACTCTTGTAGATTCATTAAGGTTGGAAATTACCTCCAAGATCACCTGGTGCAACCATCCCCCTACCACCAATGTCACCACTAAACCATGTCTCTAAGCACCACGTCCAACCTTTCCTTGAACACCCCCAGGGATGGTGACTCCACCACCTCCCTGGGCAACCCATTCCCATGCCTGACTGCTCTTTCTGAGAAGAAATGTCTCCTAATTTTTGACAATCTGGCATTTATAAACAGAAAAGAATGAAAATCTAAAATCATAAATCTCAGATTGCCCATTTAATGAAATACCATATTTTTTCATAGACAGCCTGAACCTTGGATAATCCCTGCTGCTTTATACGTGCCCATGCTTGAAAATAAGTTCTCTTACAACCTGCAGTGTGAAATAACCTGCAGTAAATCAGAAGAAAGGGGTACTGGTTAGAGGTTATGGGGAGGGAGCAGAGGCAGATAACTCCAGGGTAATCTTCCCCTGTATTACCTGCACATACATAACCATGCATTGTTGCTAAGTTGCAAGGGCTTTAAATAATAGAGAGAACCTAATTTCTGGTTAGAAGAGATAGACTATGGATTGCTTACATAACTGAAAAGACATTTTGTTAAGACAAGTAGATGGTGTTAATTCTCATTTTGTTTTGAAACTATATTCATCCAGGAAGTGAAAAACATAAAACAGTAAATGTCTCAGAGCTTATGTAAGAAAAGATCATTAAAAACAGAATTTGTTAAGACCTGAGTAGAAACACATAAAATCTTACAGAGAAGTGAGGAAGATACACATGTGTATGTTTGAGTTTATCCATGCTCAAATGACAATGATTCCCCAGATTTTTTGGTGGCCATATTATCTTCTGGTTTTTATTTAGTGCTAAAACATAATATGATAAGAGGCTTAAATTCCATTGACCTGATTGCAGTAAGTTAGGTTTCTAAATGCCTTTGAAGGTCTCATCTTTACATCTATTCAGTTTCCATCTCCAGAAATGCTAGCTTTGTAGTTCTCCCCAAATGACTCTGAGGATAAATACAATAAGATTATTAAGTGATCGAACTCCTTGGTAATTGAGACTACGCGGATACCTTAGACAGGTGAATAAACACTCATGTTTGCCTTCAGGGCAATTTGACAATTTTCAGCTTACATCAGTTTGCCCCATAATTAGAGGTGAAAAGGAAATGGGAAAGCAGAAAGTGGGAGGACTTTGGGATCAAAGCTAAGTGACCTTGACAGGAAGGAGGCTTTTATCTCTCCAGAAGGAAGCCGCCTCAGTTGGCGACAGTCACAACTCATGCAATATTTAAGATTTTGGTGTGGGACATATCGTGGGTGCAAAAAAGTGCAATTTTTAGGAATGTCTGAGATTTAATTAAATGCATATTTTGTTGCAAAAGCATGGATTTCCCTAGGTACAGTCAGTAAACGTTTGATCACTTCATTTAATATTTAAGCCGCAGCATCTTCTGCAGTAGTCATTAAAGTTGGGCTAACAGAAATTTTACCAATAAAACTGGAATAGCTGCTATTGAAAAAAGCAATTGTAGAACTAAAAATGTTTTTTTTTTTTTTAAAAAAGCAACAAACTAGCTCCAGTGATACAAAATTCAGGAAATTCTCATCATTTTCAACAAGACCAAAGCCAGTTATTTCTGTACACTGCTATGTTTAAAAGTATCTGAGAAGTTTATTTTTTTCTCAAGCTAAAACTGAAGACATAGAGTACTCTTTGCAGTCATGGAAGAACAGCAGACTCACCCCTCTCTGATACAGAGCAGTGTCAGAGACTGCACTGACACTTCAGTTGGTCAACTTCCTTTTATAACTGAAATTACTTTTCCTGAACATTTACTGCTTTGGGGAATACCTTTTAGATGAAAAGGAATTTCAGAAATAAGAGGGCAGTCTCTCTTGTCCAGATTAGTATCTCATTGTTTTTTAAACAGAGACATCTGTTTACAGGCATGAAAGCAGAGATTATGCAGAAACAGATTCATTTAATTCTGCTCCTCCCAAACTGCTTATCCTTTTCTCTCTTTGATCTTGGCTATCAATCCTGGCTACTCCATGGAGTTAATTCAGAATCAAAACTCCACTGAGCAACAAGGGCCAATTTTGCAGCCTTCAATGGCTTGCACAGAGCAATGTTCCTCTGAATCCTGGACCAAGAACAACCACTTGCATTGCCCATTTTGTATATTTAGGATTAGCTTCTTTGGTTGCCTAAAACATAAGACAGAACTATCTTAGATATTTCTAACCCCCAGCTTGCTGCATATATCATCGCATAATTATTTAGCATTAATAGTATAATTAAGAGTTGCAGTATGACTCCCCAATCCGTTCCCTTAAAAACAGTAGCAGAGTCTAGCTGGAACAAATCTAAAAACAAAACACCGTATTCAAGTCTCCATTACACAGGGGAAGTTTTCAGTAACCCCATTACAAACCTGACTTCAAAAAAAAACAAAAAACCAAAAAAACTATATATATATATACACATATGTACATATATATTCACCACTTACAATTGCAAAGAACTTAACAACATTGTGAACACCCATTGTTTTAAGGCAAATCAAGTAATGTTTCCCAGACTTCTTTACTCCTAAGAAGCAACATGCTTACAGGGATCTGATCATAAACCCCCAAGAGGTGTTTTCTCATGGGGTTCAATGCCCAGAGAAGCATGCCTTAATAACAGAAGCATGGGCTTAGTCACCCGTACAACATTTGATGTTAATGGTATATGCACACTGAGCTGCGTGCACCAAGAGACAGAAAATAAATAAATAAATTTGTGATTCAAATTTCTTCAATATTCCTAATTAAACAACTCATTAAGGTTTTTCAAAGAACTAGTGACATAAGTGGCATTATGAAATACTTCAGAAGCTATTCAGTCACAAGTAACGTTATTCTTTCATACATTTTCATATTCTAAGAAACATGAAATTACTAGCAAAAACATATTAAAAGGCCCCTTTCAAAGAAGAAAGCCACCTCTCAGATTAGCGATTTGAAAAGCAAGTATGCATGTTTCCTATTCAGGGAACTTCAAGAGTTTCAGAAACATCACTCAGCGTTCACAAAACCTCAGTTAAGTAATGAGTCACCATGGCTGGATCGCAGTGAAGTGGTGAAGTTTCTTGCCTCACCTGAAGTTACGGGCTGATTTCCCATACAGGTTAGAGATACATCACAGATAGTTCCAGCTTAGAGCTGTACTATGAATAGAGATCATCTTGTTTGGACAAGAATATCCTAGAGAGCAGAGTGCTAGAAAATCCCTGCTGTAATGGCATGGTATTTATTCACCCTAGATGAACAGGGAGCATGCCTCATTCCCATTTAACAGTGATTATCCAGCCCTAGTAACTCTGAAATCACTCACAAAGGGCTCAATCCCCCTAAATGCTACAACTTCTTTTGCCAGCTGTGAGGAGAACCCAGGACTCACCACAGGTGTTTCCACTCCTGGCCATCTAGTCTTGCTTGAGAAGATCTCCAAGCTCCTTAATGGGATCCCAGGGAGGATCAAGAGCTGTGAGAAGGGAGGCCAGCAGACCTACATTAGCTCTCCTGCCTTCTGCTACAGCTTCTTAAGCTGTGCAGTTAATAGGGGTAGCGTTAAGAGGCTTTTAAAGAAGCCATAGCCTTTTAGTGCAGCCTGTTACTGCCATGATCAAAGAAATAAGAGACTCTTTCATCAAAAAAAAGAGACATGACCTACTAATCTACAGTTCTTTTAATAGCACATTTGTAATGAAATGAGTCTTAATGGGCATTCCTCTATTTTCCTGTTAATTGCTCCTGTTGGAGCGTATTTGCATAAATGGAGTTCACTTGCCCGCAATATGCTGAGCCTTACAGGGATTGCTGATTGGTAGCAGCCCACATCCATTTCTCCATGGTAAATGGCTGTGGAAGTCCACAAGAAATAAGAAAGCACTTAATGATCACATACAAAGCTAAAGTTTAGCTATTTCTGCCCTTCCCAGGTCCAGTACATTATGCTCCACCTACCAATTGTTTTCTCCTAAGTTCAGAGTGGGAATTACCATATGTTCCTGTCAAAAAAGCACAGACAACTAGAGAGAGCATCAAGCCTCTAGCAGAGAGAAAGAAGCAAACAGCAGCTGGTGACTAGAAAACTACTTAAGAAAGATAACTGCTTTGCTCTGCCACAGATGAAATGGGGCGTGCTGGCAATGGGGGTGGTGAGGAAAGTCCCTGTAAGGGAGAACTGCAAAAGGCAAGCCAAAGAGATTAGGGTCACTAAAAAAGACTAAAATGCAGCAGTCAAATGTGGCATTGGGGCTTTACTAGAAATGTGAATTTACAGATGGCTGTAAATAAAAAATAATAATAATAAAAAGAAATAATAATGACTCATTGCGTATGAGAAACGTATGAACTCCAACATGCCTAAATTGGAATCAGGCGAACTCTGCTTACCTGGTTTGCCTCAATTAGACCACTTGCTCTAATAATTCTGGTATCTCTGACTGTGGGTTTCCTCTGTAGGAAACAAATTAGGACTTCAGCAATTAGTATCACACTTGACAACAATATATACTGCCCAAAGAAGAACCAAAATACTCTGTCAAAGAATTTTCTTCTATCCGTGTCTGTTATTGAACTGCCTAATTACTACTGTCAAAAATAGTCAGTCTTTGATAGGAAGATACGCTAGTGCCTGCTGAAAAAGAAGCTCCCCCCTGCTTGCTTTTATTCCTGGCTACACATGTGGCAATATAGCCTCTGCCTTCACTGTCACACTGCAATGCTTTAAGAAGAACTGCAATGCCACTGAAACAGCTGCAAGCCCAGCTTTTTCTCTTTTCTCAAGCCAGGTTTTGGAGAGTATCTGCGACATCTTGGCTTAGAGTAATTGCTGATCAGCACAGAAAGGATCTGTTGCCTGTGGCTCTGTCTCATTTACAGGAGCTTGTGGATGACATCAGGGGCCTCTGATGGCATGGAGGCAGGTGCCTAATAAATGGTAGGTGGATGGAAAAAGCAAAACCCAGCATCTCATCTAGTTAAGGAAAAGATAATTTTCAGGGACAAGCTGACCAAGATTTCTTTAATGTGTCTAATAATTTGGATTAGTTCCCTTAGTAGAGATTTTTAGGTGGTGGCATCTCATATTATTCTAAGAATGGAGTCTTGTTTAAAATAGCTGTATATATTTTCTTTAAGAAGAAAGTCTAAGAAGTCACTGATCCCTTCTAAGAGCCTGTCTATGAGACTTTCAAGTACCTGAGTCTAGAAAGAAACAGAAGAAGAGATATTCACACTATATAGCTTTTTCAATGGAGACAAAATGCTTTAACTTAGGCACTTCAGGTCACCCAAGACCCTTCCTCTCTGGGTAGGAAGGCTAGGTTCCTTTTCAGACATCAAGTTTTGGTGCATAAGGCGGAGTGACTTTTTCTTTTATGACACTCCTGCTTTAAAGAACCTGATAATAAGAGAGAAAAAATATTTTGTAGGTTTAATAATAGCTTATTGCATGTATGAAAACCACAGTACATTTCATGAGGGGGTGGCAAAACTGCAGATTTCCAGCAAGTACTGTGATAAAGTTTTCCTACAGCATTTTCATGGCTTCAAGGATATTTTTGGTACTGCTGAAAGCTTTTTGGCTATCACTTCAGGCACATCTACTACTTTGCCATCAAGGTATTGATTAGGAATAAATGACCCATGTGCTAGATATGCCCAGCAGTGGAAGTGCTACCAAGTTGTTTTCCTACTAGATACAGTTGTTTTCTTAGCTGTTTTTATCTCCCCTCCATCAAGAACCAGCTTAATATTATTTACAGTATTCTGCTGTATCACCTGCTAGTCACATACCTGTCCCCATTTTCAGGTTGTAACACAGTTTTAGCTGAATGCTTTTCTCTGCAGGGGAACAATGAAATGCCATGGATGCCTGTCCCCACATCACCTGCACGAAGCAGACACAGCTGGAAGCCTTTGGCAAGATCAGTTCCTGCTTCCTGTCAAACTCACACAGAAGTAGCTCACAAAAAGGACAGGATCAACCCTTTCCATGCAGCTGCTGGCTGCAGAGGTGAACAGCCTGTGACACCTGTGTAGGGTTGCTGGAGTTCCTGCTCTTGCCTGCAGACCCAGGCAACATCAGATGCTTTTCCAGGTGCTCCTGCTGCAATGTCACCTGCCCGCACGCCCTGTAGCATGCACCAGCATGCAGCTGGTATGTGCAGCAAAAGTGCACGTGGTGATTAAAGCACAGGGACTATGACTTGACTGGCACACCATCAGGAAGGAAAAAAATAACAATGTGATTAAAGTGCTTCTGTATGACTTAGGAAAGCCGAGTCCAGGTTCCAGCCCTGCTACAGGTAGACCTGCTACAGGTACCTGCTCCAGTGCCTCACCACCCTTACTGTAAAAAAAAAATAATATACATATACATATATATATTCTTCCTTATATCTAAAATGTCTGCTTTATACCTAAATCTTCCTTCTTTCAGTTTAAAACCATTGTTCCTTGTCCCTTCATACACACTCTGGTAAAAAGTCTTTCTCTATCTTCTGTATAAGTTTACATAGTGAAAGGCCACAGTAAGGTCACCCCTGAGGCTTTCTCTTCTCCAGACTAAAGCCCCAGCCCCCTCAGCCTTTAGGAGAGGTGCTCCAGCCCTCTGATCATTTTTCTGTCCCTCCTCTAGACTTGCTCCAACAGGTCCACATCTTTCTTGTGTTGGGGACCTCAGAAGTGAGCGCAGGGCTCACAAGAGCAGAGCAGAGGGAGAATCCCCTCCCTCACCCTGCTGGGCACGCTGCTTTTGGTGCAGCCCAGGGTACAATTGACTTTCTGGGCTGTAAGCACACATTGCCAGCTCTTATCTGATTCTTCATCCACCAGCAGCCATAAGCCTTTCTCTGCAGGGCTCCTTTGTCAATTGATCCCTAGTCTGTGCTGATATTGGCAATTACCCCGACCCAGCTGAAGGACTTGGATATTCTTGAATGACCATGGATTAGTCACTTAGTGCAGCCAAACAGTGGAAACAAGATTTCCTCTTCTGTGACATGCCTCTGTCTTGTGTGTTGAGACTGTTTATGCGCAGCGGATATAAGACATGATTTCAGTGTTTCTAAATACAGAGACTTAGCATCGGCATCTCCGAAACAAGACAGTACTGAGGCTCTTTTCAAACGGCAGGTGTAAAAATCAAACTATCTGAAAGCAGATAAACCACATCATCAGTCCCCTCACCGGCTACTGAATAATCTTATAAAAGTCATGCAGTCATCTATTGCCATTACCTCCGAGGCACAAAAGGGAGAGAGATACCTCTCACTTTGCCTATTTTGTCAGCGTGTGCTTTTGTGAAGGCTGGTGTTTGTGTGCATTCAGGTTCACTGGGGTTAAAGCAGCTGCATTGTTCAAAAGGGCCATGCTAATAGATCCCAATGCAGGATGGAGGTAGTAGTTATCTTAACATTTCTGCTGCATTCAGTTATTTTTATAGTTCTGGACCTTTTCTCCTGCTGAGAGAACTGAAAAAAAAATGGTTTTCAAAGACACTATAATCAACCACTGCTGGCTGCAATTACATTGTGTACTTGATGTCTTCAGAAAGAACCTATGGTTAAAACTACAAATCTTTTGGTTTGAATTCTCCTGGCTCTGTTCTGTTTGGTATTTCAGAGGTGTATTTACAGAAATGATCGCTAGGGCATATGGGTTTATATAACAAAGATATCTATAAAAAAAAAAGTGAGCATCAGAAGATTAAAATTTCATCAGCTATCTTTTACTCTGAAAAATTGACTTTTTTTTTTTTCTTTTTCCTGTTTATGACTGATATTTACAAAGGAATACCCCATGGAGAATGAAGGAAAAAGGGCATTTGGATTTCAGAGCAGTAAAAGCTAATTCACACTTGAGAAAATTATTAGATGGAGACTTTCAGATCTAACTGGTCATAAGAGAGACATAATTGTAAAGTAAGCTCAAACTCAACTGCTTTTTAAGTCCAAGTCAATTATGGACAAGTCTGCAATGTTACAGCTTCTGAGTACATGAAACTTAGTTATTACTGGAAATACCAAGCAAGAAATTCTTTCCTATATATAAAAACTTATCAATATGATATATTTGAATATATGAATATGACACTGAAAATAAATGGATATGATAACTTTGGAAGCCTCTATTTCTCAAGGTTAGCTGGAATACTTTCTTTTCTTTGTGTAGCTATTGCTCCTTTAACCTTTCTCCCCATGATGAGAAAGTAATTTTTTGCAGATTTTCCTTACAGCCTTAATCCTTTTCTTGCCGTCTTGCCTGCAGGGTAGCAGAACTTGATGTTTGT